GAGAAGAAAATTTGATGCAAAAAAATGGTTTATATCAAACATTACATCACAATCAATTTGTTTAATGTCAATTCAAAATCATTGTTCAAACGATCCTTCCCCCTTTTACCTGTAGAAGTCATGCATTGGGTAACTGGTGTAGCTGGAGATCTTGTAGAGACACTGTCCTCTGCTCACGGCCTTCTCAATGGCATCCTGGTTATTGAGGATCTTATTGTCTAATGGGAAAGGAACAAATATAAATTAGATCAAAGTGGCAACTGCAACTGGAGCGAGACAAAGTATTTATCATAAAAACCAGATTCACACCTTTCATTGTGACATTGACTCCTGAGGCTAGAAACAGGCCTCCAAAGCGATTGTTGAAGATCTGGTTTCCCTCCAGCGTTGCTGTGGCGTGATTTGTGATTTCAATACCTGAGACGGGACGGAAAAAAGAAGTCAGACATCAGCGACATAAGAGATGCAAAGTGGAGACTGTCTTTTAACCAAAAGAGGGGGAGGGGGGAAGGGGCAACTGACCAGCGGCAAATCCGTCAAAAATGCGGTTCTTGCGGAGAATTGGATGACTGTTGGTGCTGATCAGTACACCTGCCTGAGCATTCCTAAAGATGTCATTCTCTTCCAGAAGACCTGCAGAGAAATAAATAATAATCACAACCACAAACATTAAACTACAGGAGCAAACTCAAAAAGTACAAATACCAGTGCAACAGGAAAGATGAGCAACAAAATTATGTGTTAAAGTGACAGGCTGTATATTTATCTCGATCGTCCTGAGTAAAAAAAGTCATGTGCCATGCTTCTGTACCTCTGCCTCCATTGAAGATGCAGATGCCTCCGTCACGCCCATCGTGAATCTTGTTTCTCCTCAGTGTGGGGTTGCTGTCCGTTTTGATCCACACTCCTGCCATGGCGTTGTCGAAGATCTCATTGTCTTCTATGAAGCCCAGACCTGTCACATAAAACCCACAGATAAGATGCCGTAGTAGTTGCTTCAGGTTAGCTAACCTAAGAAAAACAGCTAAAAGAATTAGAAGTTACTTTATAAATATTAGCTTAAGAAAGATTACATTTCATTTTCAAATGTTCCCCAGAGATGAAACGAGGGGCCATGAAGACAACAAAATAAACTTAAAAAATAAATAATGACACACCTGAGTTGTATACTAAAATGCCTCCATTCTGACCTCCCCATATCTTGTTGCGTCTGATCTTGGGATTGCTCCCCGTTCTGTCAACAGAAGAGAAACAGAAAAACCTCTCGGTCTCAATGTTTGGGAAAAGACAACTCTGAGGACCTAATGAAAAACACATTGGCAAAGTGCACCAAGTCATCTTACCTTATTTGCACACCGGAGTACATGTGATTGTAGATGTCATTGTCTTCCAACACACCGTGGCCGTTGTCATAGAAGTAAACACCAACCTAACAAATGTAAACAAACACTTAACAATAGAGGAAAACATCTACTAGTGATATATATATATATATATATATTCTAATCAGATGCTGTACTGTACTATCTGTATTACTCTACATTAAATTCACAGCCCGACGTCCAGGGGCTAGTTACCTGTTTGCCACTGTGGATGCGGTTCTTGCGGAGGACAGGTGTGCTTCCTGTTGTCACCCAGACTCCAGCTAGCGTGTTGCTGTAAACCTCATTTTCCTCGATCACACCCTGACCCTTTTCGTGCTGAAACACACAATGTCAGAGCTGATGAGAACGACAATTCTGATGAGATGAATGTTCAGGTTGAAGTTGTGATAGACACCAAACATGTTTACCACGTAGATGCCGCCGTGCTGTCCGTCGTGGATCTTGTTGTGCCGGACAATGGGGCAGCTGTTGGTTCTGATCTGAATTCCCGCCAGGGCGTTACCATAGATGTCATTGCTCTCTATTAAACCCCGACCATCACCAAATATGTATACCCCTCCTTGGTTACCGTTGAATATTGCGTTTCCCCTAAATTAAAAAAAGGTCATCATTGTAAAGTAAATTATTAGTTAAAGGATTCAACAACAGCAGTGTTAAAAGTGTTGATTCTTACCGTATCGTTGGATCACTGTTGGATGTGATCCACACCCCAGCAAAGTTATTGGCATAGATTTTGTTTTCTATAAACTGCCCCCGTCCCTTCTCGTGGACATAGATGCCACCTGTTTGGCCGTGATGGATTTCACAGCGCACCACTGTAGGATTGGCATAAGCTTTCACCTCAAAACCTGCTATACGGTTCCTGTGGATGTTACAGTTCTCAAAGTAACCCTGAAAAAGAAGGGGAGGGGGAGACAGCTCTGATTATCTGACACTTCTGGAAGTAGCCCATACTGACAGTGAAGAAGGCGTAAGTGGTTCGTACCATGCCGTGATCAAAGGTGAACACTCCAACATCTCGTCCATGGTGAATGTGGTTTCGTCTTATAATGGGATTGCCGTGGTTTTTTACCCAAATTCCTGCTAGTGCATTGTTGCTGATTTCATTGTCTTCATAAATGCCCTGAGGGAGGGGAAATGTTTATAATCCTTTCCTGTATGTTTGTGAAAAAAAAACTGTCATCATGAGTGAGCAGCACTGTCTCGTGGTACCTGTGCATGGTCAGTGATATACAGGCCCACGTTCTCACAGTCACTGATGTTGCAGTGTTTGATGGTTGGACACGCTCCCTGGCCGCTCACACACACAGCTGATCCCACTGCACACAGAGAAAACGCTGAAGTTGTACTGTAGTAGTCTTTGAGCACAAACATTCAACATAGTTGGACACATGCTGCATTTCTCCATAATGTTTCTCACTGACAAAGAAATGGAACTGTTATCTCTGTCCCATCCTGGTAATGTTTACGCAGCAAAACTGTAGTTAGTTTGCAAAAAAGGGTAAATGATTGTTTAAAAAATTGTTATCCCTTTCTGAAAGCCAGCTGCTGTTTGGAAAAGGTAATGCCAATGGAAAAACAAATTGCAGTTTTTTGAGTCTCCAATTGTCAAATTGTCTTTTGTATAAAGACTCTAAATATATGCAGTGATCATTTGTAATGAATGCAATAACAAGATGAAATCATATTCACGTAATTGTTTCCAAATGTCTGTGTGTGTCTTACCTGTGCACGTGGAACGTATGATGCAGTGATCAATGTTGGGGCTGCAGTTGACTGTGATCTCCAGACAGTGATGGGCGTTATGATGCTGCGCCGACTTATCGTCAGGATTAAACTGCAGTGGTAAAACGAAGTGAAGGTCAGACGGGGGTCAAGTTTACTTGCCACACAACAGGCTAAATCCACACTGGAAGCAACTATTACTCATATCCTGCTGTATCAGTCTTTATAATGTGAAAATAAATTCACAGGCAGAACACTACTGTCATCTAAAGTCGACCTCATTCTAAAAGCAATCAAAGAGGAGAAAGGTAATATTTAATATTAAATACATAACTACATATAATTAATAATTA